ATATAAAAAAAAGTTAAAAATGATTATAAGAAAAGTTTATTAGAAAATCTATAAGAAAAAAATATCATGGATCTTATCAACTGGGCTCACCAACACACCAACAGTGTTAATGGATCTCATGAATTGGGTATGCAGACTGATGTTGGATCAGTTAGGGATTGTGTTTATGGATGATATTCTAGTCTGCTCCAAGACCAACGAGCAGCACGAGGATCCTTTACGGGTGGTATCGGAGACCTTGAGGAGAGAATGGATATATGTCAAGTTCTCCAAATGTGAGTTCTGGTTACGGAAGATGCAGCTTATAGGGCATATACTCAACTGTAAGGGTATATTAGCCGATCCAGCTAAGATTCAAGCTGTGATGCAGTTGGAAGTTCCGAGGACATCATCTAAGATTAAGATTTTTCTTGGTCTCAATGGTTATTATCATATACTTATCCCATATTTATCCAAGATTGTTGAACCATTGACCCGCTTGACAAAGAAGAAAGTTACTTTCTGATGGCGGGGGGCGGGGGGGTAGGGGGTGGGGGTCAGCAGGCAGCTGAGACATAGATTATGCAAGGGCATGATTCTCAATCGTCCTGAGGGAATGGACGATTTTGTGGTTTATTGTGACGTATCTATCTCGGGATTAGCAGTCGTGCTTATGCATAGAGACCACATGATTGCTTACACATCGAGGCAGCTGAAGCCTCATGGGGAAAATTACCCTGCACATGATTTGGAGTAGGGGCTATCGTTTTCGCCCTCAAGATATGCATGCAATACTTGTATGAGCTTAGGCGTACTACTTACACTGACCACAAGATTCTGAGGTATCTAATGGAACAGCCGAATCTGAATATGAGGCATCAGAGGTGTTTATATGTAGTGAAGGATTATGACTGTGAGATTCAATATCACTCAGGGAAGTCTAATGTCGTGGCCAATGCCTTGAGTCACAAGGCTGTAAGTACACCTATCTGAGATCTATGTTTGAGGAAGGTTATTTTTTCCCCCGTTAGATATGATCAAAAAGGCTTAGGAGGAAGGGTTGAAGAAGCAAAATTGGAAGGCGGAGTGAATCACGGGTCAGATTTCATTATTTTTTAAGGATAGTCACTAGTTATTGACTTAGTGTGGTAGGGTTTGTGTTCGATTACTGGTGGGGTTAAACAAATATTACTGGAAGAAGCACATAAGTCAAAGTTTTCAATTCATCCAGGAGCCACGCAGATGTACAAAGACTTGAGGTTGGATTATTGGTGACCCTATATGAAGAGGGAGGTAGCATGGTTTGTGGAGCGATGCTTACCTTTCAGAAAATTCACGCCCGAACATTAGAGACTCCACGAAAAGATGTAATCATTACCTATTACCATGTGGAAATCAGAAGAGATCACCATGGATTTTATCACGAAGTTATCAAGGACGGCACATGAGGTTAATTCTATTTTTCTCATCATGGATAGAATGACCAATAGCGAGTATATCATACGTATTTTTGAATACATTTCCACGGAGAAATTAGCTTACATCTACATTAGGGAGGTGGTGGTTCGCCACGGGGATCCAGTTTCGATGGTTTCGCATCGAGATGTTCGTTTCACCTCCAGGTTTTGGAGGAAGTTTCATGAGGATTTGGGTACTTAGCTGCATTTCAGTACAACATACCACCCTTAATCCGATGGACAGAGTGATAGGATGATTTAGAACCTCGAAGATATGCCTAGGGCATGTGTGCTAGGTTTTGGCGGGAGTTAGGATACTTTTCTTCTACTGGCTGAGTTCTCCTACACCAATAGCTACCACACCAGTATCGATCAACCACCCTTAAATATGCCTTATGGGAGGATATGTCGAACCCTAGCTTGTTAGGGCAAGGTCGGGCATGTAGTTATAGGGGTTATTGAGTTAGTACTAAAGACTACCAAGTTGATACAGTAGATATGCAATCGGCTACAAAGTGTGAAGAATCACCATATAAATTTTGTTGACCGGTTACGTTCACATCACGAGTTTCAGTTCATAGATTTTGTGTTTCTGAAGGTGTCGCCTTGGAAAGGTGTCATTCGAATCTAGAAATGGGGAAAGTTGGGCTCCCGATTTATTAAACCCTTCAGGATTATCTCATGGGTGGGCAAGGTTGTGTATTGTTTGGACCTACCTGATAAGCTTCGACAAATCCACAACACTTTCCATGTCTCCGAGTTGTGGAAGTGTTTGGCAGATGATTCGGAAATGGGTCCCTTGGCTTACATTTAGATTGATGAGGATCCGAACTACATAGAGTGACAGATTATGATTCTTGATATAGGAAGACAAAGATCCTGCACTACAAAGTGGTGAACTTGGTGAAAGTTCATTACTTCTTGTTTTTGAGGTTCAAATATCATAAAAATGGTACCTTGATATCTATCTTTCACCCATGCAACGATTTAAGTTGATTAGAGCATTATATAGAAATAGGGTTTGGTCTTGTGCTCCGTTAAGCCATGGAAAGGCATAAAGTAAAGAAATTTATCACTCTAGATGTTCATTAGGACCAAATATGAGATTTATATGGATTGTCTTTATTGATTAAGAGCTCAAATGGAAAAGGATTTATCAGCTTCCTATGAGGTATGTAAAATAGGCTACGCCCATCGTAGCTTTGGTTCTTCATGATTCCTGGTAGTCCCTCTACATCAGTCGTAGACCCATAGTTTATGCAGGGCGTATAACCAGAAGGCATGTTTATTCACTTTGGATCGTTAGGTCATATTTAGAAGAGTGTATCCGTAAAAGGTTGAAATGGTCTTTTAACCTAGAGAGAAAGTATATAATGGACCCTTGATTATGGATTATCAACTTAATTGAAAATTAGGTTTGTTTTGGAGATGTTTAGTGTAAGGAGCTTTTGTAGCAGTAGATCGAGTGTGAGTCTTGCTTAACTATAGATTTAGGTGACTCTTCTCACTGTACTTGTAGGTCGAAGGTACCAATGCCAACCTATTGGATTATATTATGTAGAATGCTAGTAGTTGTTTTGACACTTACAAGTATCATTGTGTTGTAATACACCCTAGGGTTAGGCCATTATTTTATCTTTAGGTTGAAATAAACCCCATGGTTGGGCCCATTATTGCATGTTCAGGCTAAAACATACCCTAGGCCTAGGCCCATGATTGTATGTTGGGTTGGAATATACCCCAGGGTTAGGCCTACTAATTACTATGGCATGTGGTATTTTGGACAAGCTCACTAATTTTTGTGCTTATGGTTTCATGTTTATGTTTCAAGTACTTCTGGTTCGAACGGGAAGGGCTAGACATGATTACACAACACCCGCTTTATGATTCCGCATTGGTTACTATTATACTCTAATGATTTAAATACATTGTATTGTGATTAATTTTGAGACACCCGATATATGGATTGATGATTCATGAAATGAAGAAAATTTACCTCTATTTTTGGGATGTTACAAGATATAATTGGCACATTAGGCTTGTGCATGGGTGTTTAAATGGTGTGGTATTCCAAGTTGTCATTTCTCAATGGTGATAGAATTCATAGGCTTTATAGTAGCATCGAGAAATTGTCCATGGAAAAGGAGTACTCTCAGTATTATTGTCGTTTACCTCTTTAGTATATATGGCTAGCAAGGAACAAGATCTTAAAAAAACCAAGTTGCTTCTCCAACCAGGATTATGGATAATGTCATCTCAGAGGCATATATTTGGAGTAATATAAGAAGTCTATTAGTTGTGGTACTTGGGTAGATTGGAGTGTTTTCCCGTTTTTATAATCTCCAATATGTAAACAATCATTGCATTCCTTTTGTGACCCACATATTGATCACTTGCTAATCATGCTGGCCTTTTATCTTATATATATATATATATATATATATATATATATATATGTGTGTGTGTGTGTGTGTGTGTGTGCATTTTCCATTTAAAAAAAACTGTGCTCACTTTGTAATAAAAGTTTAGAAACAGCCGAACATCTCTTACTACAATGTGAGTTCATCCAAACCATCCATAATTGGATTTTCAATTTGTGTGGAGTGTCAATCACAAGATTCACGAATATCCCAGACTTCCTTGACTTGGTGGCTTTATGGATTTCTTGTAATAGAAAAAAGTCGATCATGAGCACCATTATTTTTGTCTTCTTTAGAATATTTGGTTGTCAAGGAAGGACAAATTATTCAAGAAAAATTACGTTAATCAAGCAAAGGTGGTTAAAAATATCATTTCCACTCCTTCCACTTCATGCAACCACTGGAGTTTTCAAGGGTGTCAGAGTTGGGTTGAATGGAGTTGCTCGTCTTTCATGCATATTTTCAGTTAATTTTTTTCTTGTTCGTTTGTTTTCTCTTTTCCTTGTATTGTACTTTAGTTACTTACTAATTGTAACCTTTTCTAAATAATAATTGTCGTTTCAAAAAAAAAAAAAAAAGTTGTCTCATCATTCTTCGATTGATCAATTAATATCTCAAGGATATTTAATGGGAAAAATGACTTACCAAAGTAATCATCATTGTTACTTTTTTCACATTTTGGCATCTTCATTTGTTTATACACATTTCACCATTTAACTTGTTATATATATTCACATATTATCGTTGTCAACAGCTATCGCAGGTGACAATGGTAATATATAAACACATTTAATAAGTTAAATGGTCAAATGTATAAAAAAATATTGCTTAAATGTGAACAATATATATATATATATATATATATATATATATATATATTATATATATATATAATTAACTTGATAAAGCATTTTTTCTCACTTTTAATAGCAATTTTATTTGTCATATTTCTTTATGTTATTATTGTTTTTTTTTTGGAACATTATTTTTAAAACATCTATAATGTCCTAAATATTAATTAAATATTGATTAATTCTAAGTTTTACTTTTTAATTAATAAGTATGTTTTTTTGTGTAATAATTTATATAGTCTCTTATATTATTTTTATTTTGTTTTTAAGCATGTACAATATTTTTAAACTACATGATAGAGTGCCTGGTGGCGAAAGAAGTGTGGTCAAAGGTGGAACAATGGTGTGGTATAGCGAATTCCATCTTGGAGTGTACTACAGTCAAGGAGGTGCTGGCGAAGGACAGAAGATGGGGAAACTGCCCAAAGGAAAAGAAAATTGCTGAAGCTATAAAATATGGGACAATTTGGTGCCTCTGGAAGGCAAGAAACAAAAGAGTTTTCAGAAACATTAGAAGTCAACCGGCGAAGATAGTGGATAATATCAAAACGGTATTACTCACTTGGATAAAACATAGAATAAAAAAGGTGTTTTGGATTGGAATTTATGGTGTAACAATCTGCTAAAATGCGGATAAGAGTATGTAGGCGTTATCTTGTAAAACTAATTAATTTGTACTCTTTCGCTTCTCTAATATCTTGCTAGTGAAGTCTTTATAATATATTTGCCGGTTCCAAAAAAAAAAATCTAACAATAAAATTAAATCAATTAAATATGTAACAATAATTATGGGGGGTTTTAAAAAAATAAATAGAAAATATTATATAGCAAATAAAAAAACAAAAAAATCCATATAATGTAATGTTTTTAAATTATTATAGGTTTTTAATACTTTTTAATTTGAAATTAATGAACTATTAATTTTTTTAATATTACGTTTTAAACCAGTATTTAATGAAAATATTTTAAAATGTTATAAAATATATTAATTTTTCATATAAAATATGTAAAAGAGTTTTAAAATGTTGTAAAATAATGTTTAGAAATAATTGTACGAAAGTTATAAAAAGTTGTTTGAAAATATAAAAAACAAGTTAAAAACTTGTATGAAAATTTAAAACATGTATACAATATTTAGTTTAAAAGCACTTATATTAAAATTATATTAAAGTATAAAAAAGTTTGTAGAAATTATAATAAAAGTTTATTAGAAAAACCTATAGGAAAAAAATATCATGGATATCATGAACCAGACTCACTAGCAGAGCAACAACATATATGGATCTCATGAACTGGGTATACAAATCGATGTTAGATCGGTCAGTGATTGTGTTTATTAATGATATCATGGTCTACTCCAAAACCAAGGAGCAGCATGAGGAGCATTTGCAGAAGGTGTTGGAGACCTTGAGGAGAGAGAGGCTTTATGTCAAGTTCTCCAAGTACGAGTTCTGGTTACGTAAGGTGTAGTTTTTCGGACATGTCGTCAACCAGAATGGTATATTTGTCGATTCGGCTAAGATTGAAGCGATGATGTGGTGGGAGGTTCCGAGGACACAATCTGAGATTTAGAGGTTTCTTGGTCTCACGGGTTCTTATCAGAGATTTATCTAGGATTTCTACAAGATTGCTATACCATTGACCCGCTTGACGAAGAAGAATATTGTTTTTCGATAGGGGTCCAATCAACAGACAACTTTCAAGACGTTGATACAGAGATTATGCAAGGCCATGATTCTAACTCTTTCCGAGGGTATAATTGATTCTCACATTTGAATATTTAACTTGTTAAATATGTTTACATGTTATCATTATCATCTATATCATGTGATATTGGTAATATGTGCACACATTTAACATGTTAAACGGCTAATATATAAAAAAATATTAAGCACAAAAAAAGATGAAAATCTAATTGCATTTGCAATTAATTTTCCTTACTTAATGCGTAAAACAATTCTTTTTCTTTAATTTTATGTCTATCTCAATAAATCTAAATACTATCAAATACTTAAAATTATTGAAAACCGTTACCAATCAAAAATAACATTTTTTTAATGTCTTTTAGTGCCTCAAATATATAATAAATAAATAAATAAAACTAAGATGAGTGGTCATTTTATTGAAACTCGAGAACAGGCATTAGATTCATTAGTGCGAAATTGAATCTTTTAAAGAAATATATACTCTAAAATATATATTTTTAAGGTTGTCACACACTGAGTTTATATTAATTAAATTCATAAATACAAAATCAGTTTTTAAGCAAAAAAGAAGAATCTTTATTAATTTGATTGAATAAACTGATATCGTGAATAAAAATCCACAAAGTAATCTTTTTTCCCACTCATTATTGCCTTTAAGTAGCTTTTCGACCTTTGCTTAACCAGTCATTAAGATCTAAATCTCTCTCCCTCCCTCCCTCTCTCTCTCTCTCTCTCTCTCTCTCTCTCTCTCACACACATACACACACACTTGCTATCATCACGAAACCCTAGCAACAGAACAAAATATAACAGAAGGGGGAAGATGGGTAGAGGAAAGATTGCAATCAGGAGAATAGACAACTCAACCAGTAGGCAAGTGACGTTCTCAAAGAGAAGGAATGGGTTACTGAAGAAAGCTAAAGAGTTAGCCATTTTATGTGATGCTGAAGTTGGAGTCATCATCTTCTCCAGTACCAATAAGCTCTATGAATTCTCAAGTGCAAGGTTTAACATAATTTCAATCTCATTTTCTACATTTCCTTTTTCTTTTCATATCATAATCTATCTTTTTTTATCAACTCCATCATCTCCGTTACAACTAATAAACCAATTCCTAAGGATACAGATAGATTATAGATAGATATAATATATGGTGACTGATTTGAAATTACTCTACTTTAAAAGCATCGATCATCTATCAGCCAGGTTGATTTTCTCTTTTTTATGAACCAAAATCCGATGAACATCTTATAAGCATTCTGAACATAAAGATAAAGATGTTACACATGAGAACGATTTTATAAGTTTAAATAATATGATACCTAGGACAACTCTATTTAAAGAAACTAAATTTCTAATGATTTCATATGTTTATGTTTTTCCCTTTATACACATTTTGATTACTATTTTTCATTTTCATTTAATCTTCATGATCGAAACAGAGTTATGGTACGTACGATTTTCCATTAAAGTTAGGCTTTTATCCTAGAGAGTATAATATATAATCTCTCTATCATGATATAAAAAAGACTTTGTAGTTGCTAATCAAGAATTTATTTTTACATTTTGTCTACAATTCAGCATGAAATCAGTGATTCAACGCTACAATAAATCAAAAGAAGAAACTAATCAACTGGTGAATTCGATGTCAGACGTCAAGGTACGTAATGAGATATCTTAATATGTGAATCAATAAATCAATAAAAAGGGAAAGTGAAGTGTAACTATTAATTAAAGTACTTCACATGAAGGTTTCAACAAAACCCTAATTTTTTTTTGGAACACACAAACCTAATTAACTCTTAATTATATCTTTCACACGAAATTTGAACTCTTAACCTAAAATAAATCGTACAACACCTAGTAAAGAAGTACATATAGTGTTAAAAAACACCTTATAATATTCATGAAATCCTTCCGCCATAAGAAAAACGAACTATTTTTCAATGGAATTATATGATCTTCATGATGTGTGCATATTTGGTCTCTCGTCTTTGCTAGCCCATGTACCTTTTACAGAAAACTTCTTCGCTTGTTGAGTAATTAACATTATATTATGATTTATAGAATATTAATTTAATATTACAAATTTAAACTAAGATAAAACTTAATCATGGATATATATGGTAAGTATTAATAGTTTCATTGGCTATGAGATTAAAATATTTGATCCAAATTTGATAACGACTTTAATTGCTTTGAGTATCTAAAGTTTCCTTATTAAGTAGCTAGTGGGAATATCGATAGTTAAATTTGATTGAGTGTGAAGTGATTTAAATTATATCGTGGATTACCTTTTTTAATCTCAACACATATCCTATGACATGTGTCCCATATCAGCCAAGGAAACAAGCTGCATACTTAATTATTCTTGACACTTTCAAAAGTATGTTCGTAACGTTCTAATTGGTACAAGTGAAAGTGCACAGATTCTTTTGACCGAATTTCCTCATCATCTAGCTAGACATATAGTTCCATTGATAGGTAGTTTGTTTTTCTTGTTCCGGTGGCATTCAAGGAATATTCAAAAACTCAAATATAAGAACAAAATTATTCAATATAGACCATGAAACTTAATATTAACTCTCCTAATCTTAATATGAAATTTAACATATACATATATTATATCATCAAAATTACGTTAATTCTTATATTTCATGAACCGAATCGAGTACTGCCAAGCTAGCTCGAAACTCAACTCGATTAAAAACCATGATTGAAGCCCTAATTTCAAGCTCAGGCTCAAACTCGGTAAAGGAGTCAACATTTTTGAGTTTGGTTTGTCTCGACTTGATTCGTTATAAAAAATAAATATTACACTAAATTGCAATAAAAAATATGATTAAGCTCACGAGTTTGATTAAGATAAAATGAAAGGTAAAAGAGTAAATACAACTAAAGCTCAGAAGCCGAGTATTTTACAGGCTCTACTTGATAATATACTCGAGTAACTTGAATCGACTCACATTGAACCGATTCAATTTCAAGTTTATCTCAAGTAATCTACGCGTTGGCTCGATTACATCCCCTAATTTCATATCTTGAGTGATCTTTTTTATGTATGCTCATCTTTTTAGCTAATTTCCTCATAGATTTGATGGGTCTAAATGTTAACTAAACCCATGATTGTTAGTTTTGCCAAATGGAGGTCGCAATATTGAAGCAACAGTTGCAGAATCTGCATGAAGCTCATAGGTAAACAGATGAAAACAACAAAACATGTCCAACATTATGATGATAATTAAATTAATAAACCATTTGTTATGTTGGGTGTTACGAACTTTTTATGTTTGATTGGCCGTTTTGATATAATTAGGCAACTTATGGGAGAAGAACTCTGTGGTTTGGGAGTTGAAGACCTACAAAAACTCGAGAACCAATTGGAAATAAGCTTGCAAGGTATTCGAATGAAAAAGGTAATTAATAAAAGTTAGTCGGTATACTCAAGAATACACATTCGTGGAGATGATTTCTTTTTGAACTTATTCATTGGAAAAAATATATATATTGAATAAGTTAATTTCATCCTGCTTAACAAGTTTTGTATATATTTTGATTTCTCGTTTTGTTTAAATTTCCTGAGGACCATCTTTAATATAATTTGCAGGAAGAGATTCTAACCAATGAGATAGAAGATCTTACGAGAAAGGTCTTTGTTCTAGTGCTCTTATAAACATCTATATAAATTAATGCGTATAAAAAACTCATGATCTAAATGGAACAAAGAATTAAGAAACTATCTTCTTATTTTATGAAATCAACTAACCATAATTTCTCTGTAATAAATTAGAATTTATGAGTCAACAAGTAATTTAATTGATATCATATCTTAACAACCTATGCTTAAAATGCTTTTTAATTTGCCAAAAAAAGGTAATTTTGTGGACTAAAATATACATCTTGCAAAAAAAAAAAAAAAAAAAAAAAAATCTTATACAACCAAAAATTAGAAGTTTTTGGAATATTAAATATTGGTATTAATGTGAATTTTCGCTTGTATAGGGGAGCCAGATACATCAACAAAACATCGAACTCTACAAGAAGGTAATCATAATTAATTTTTTTATGAGATGATCAATTGTCACAATTCTCTGATTATTTTTCATTAAACTATTCAATCAATATATATATTTATGAAATAAAAATCATTGTGTTAGATTCATGAAGCAAGAGCATATGCCGCTAGCTACGATGAAATTAGTTCAATGCATGAGACTCCATTGTCATCCAAGCATGCAGCTCCACCAATCAGCAGCTATGCCAACTTGAGCATTGGAGGACTCTTCACATACGGATAAACTTTAAATGTGATGTTTTCATTTCTTGACACAAGCTTCCCTTTTAATGTGATATTTTCATTTCTTGAAATGAATGAATGATCGATGCAAGCAAATAATCATTTTTGTGATTCAATACCTTTTTTTCAAGGGCATTTCAAAATTTCTCGCCTTTGATTATCGTATAATGGGTCATTTTTTTACTCATTTATACATAACAATATCGTATAACGGCATGCTACGTGCAATTGTTCCCATGTAATTAAATTTTTTCTTCCGTTACTTATATGGTACATTTTTTTTAGTTTCTTTTTGTAATATTTTGATTCCATATATTTGCATGCAAATGAATTAATATGATAAATTATTTAAGGTAACTATAAAGCTTATGATAGAAGAATAGAAGCCTTGTGGCACATTAGTCGAAGTACGTAAGAGGTGCTGATCTATACACCATACAAGTCCCTTTAAGTGAGGACCACAAGTTATTATTTAGCAGTGTCAACTTTCTAAGCTTACGCACTAAAATCGCCATCTGAACAAGGTGATGCAAAAAATAGTGCATGTGTTTGTTATAGGCCCCATATGCATGATTTATGATCCACTTATTTCTGGTTTTTGTTCTCGACTTAGGTTCATACAATGTTTAATAAATATATCGAGCTATTCTTTTGTTCCAGAACTTTGAGATTTTTCCATTTTTGTTATAGTAGTATTAGACTACCGGAACGATAAATATTGTTACGTTTCATGTGGAATATATTATCACAATATGTATCACCATGATTATTTATAAATTCGAGAAAATCAGCCGAATATGAATTTAATTAACTTTATATTGGAGATTAATTTGTATTTAGGGTTTTCATAATTAACATTACTATAAATTACTAGGATGTGAATAGATAAACAATTTGCAAATACCATATAACCCTTTGGGTAGGGTTGTTCACTATTTGGATAAAATCGGGGACGCACCTAAGATTTTGTAGTAAGTGTTGCCGGTCCGTAATAGGTGTTGCCGATCCATAGTAGATGTTGCCGGTGACACATTTTATAGTAGAAAAAAGAAAAAAAAATCGAAAATTTTGCACTACGTCAGGAAAAACTAGGTGTTGTCGGTACCACCCACTACAAAAAATTTGGGTATTTACCCACACATAAATTACCTACACATGTCAAATACCCACACATATTTTTATATGTGTAGATAAATGTCAATAATTATTTTTATATAAAGGCAAACACTTAATATATGTTGGTAATACTTTTTAGCCACACTTTTGTAGGTGGGAAAATTTTCCCCAAAATTTGATTATATATTACATGTACGATTATGAATTTTGTTTATATGCAAATAAAACTATCTACAAATACATAAAAACTTAATACATGTGTAAGTAATTTTTGAAATTTTACGTACACAAAATATTTTTATATTAAATGTAGTTAAATAGAGTATTATATGTTTTGTTTTATATTTTTGTTAATGACGTAGCAAATTAATACCTACCCATATTTATGACTCTAAAAAAATTGTGGTTAATGTGTGCATATTGCTTACACATAATACTATTATATAAAAGGAAGAATTTCATATATACCCTTCTTAAACCTCAAAATATCATATTTTCCCAGCTTAATTTCTTAATATCATATTTACCCCTCATAAACCTTCAAAATATCATATTTGCCCAAATCCTTTTTTATAATGTTTTTAATATTTTATAATCATTTTTATAACTTAAAATTACTATAATAATTAAAAATTTTAACGATATTATCCTTACATCTATGATAATGGAATGTGAACTTCTAAATTGTTGGAATATCGTCCTCTTGACAAACAAAAATATTCATCTTCAACCCTCTCTATGGAATGTATATTTTGATTGTTTAGTTTTTTTGTTGATTATGTTGTAGATGAAGAATATTTTAGATATTACCATTGATATTTTGATGTTTAAAAAGTACATATACGATATTTTGATATTTAAGAAGGGTATATATGATATTATGATGTTTAAAAAGAACATATATGATATTTTGAAATTGTATGAATGGTAAATATGATATTTAGAAATTTTATGAAGGGTAAATATGATATTTAGAAATTAAGTTGGGTAAATATGATATTTTGATGTTTAAGAAGGGCATATATGAAATTCTCCTAATGTATAGATAAATATGGAATGACATTTAAATAAAAAATATATGTAAATCGGCACTTATAACAAAAATTCAGAACAAATTAAAACTAAAGTATAAATTCAACAACAGAATGTAAATTAGGATGAGGTTTTGAGATCTAGATAATATCTTCCGAAATTGGTGAGATTATGGCTATACATGGAGACGGTTGTTCCAACAAAATCGCCCCCACAAAACGTCAAAATCCTATCAAATTCAAACAATACTAGGCTGCACGAGAATGAAATTCTAAATTTTCATTTCCCTCCTGTCATATTCTTTTCCCTCTAATATTTTTTTTTAATTCCCTCTTCATTTTAACTCCCCCCTCCCCCATAGATATACATAAAGTCACAAACACAAACGACTAGGCTTTGCTTCCTCTACCCACGTCTACCCTTAATTCGCTGCCCTCATCTCCTTTTATGGCTATTTAAATAACCCATTTGTTTAATTGCAGTAAAGTCTTGTTCGGTATATTGCAACCAAAGAAGCTAAAGACAATATTTTCTTCTTGCTTCACTGTTGTAGGATTGTATAAAATATGTGTTAATCAACTTGTGTTCTAGTAAGTTTTTATTGGCCATTCTCGTTGAATTTTCAAGATTTCTTTTGCTTTGGTCATATTAGATATCAGGACCTCCCCGAAGGTATAATTTTGTTTATGCAATTTTTTTAAATTGTGACAGCAAGGAGGAAGCAATGAAAATTATTTATAATGTTTTTGCACGAGTTACTTTGTGATTTGGTGGAAGATGAACGAAGAGTCAAAGAGATATCAAACAAGATTTAAGGTTAGCATTTATTATTTATTTCATTAGTTTTTATTTTTTTTATAAGGAGCTGGTAGTCACGACTTTTAGTTATCTTTTACAGGATTATCAATGTGTATTTAACTAATTTCACAGATGGTAGGGTTTGAGCGTGACTCTTATCTTTTTTTTTTTTTTTTGAAGTGCTCCTCCGTTCAAAGATCATTGAAGAAGACTACCAAGCATAAGCATAGATCATTTAAGTTTGAACCTACATAGTTTTGTATTATTTTCAAAGTAGTATGACCTCAACTTTGTACTTTTAAATGAAGTTTATTTTGTCTTTTGGTTCATCATTGTAATGTTTAGGATTTATGGGATTTCTCTCTTCTTTAATAGATTCAAATCATTCTCTTTTTAAGCTACATATTTTATATAAATTTTATGCACATTTGATTTCATGTATATGTTGATAAATTATGGGTTAAATAAAACAAATAAACAATGTACCAAACAATGTGACCCATGACCTAAGTTTATTCATATCAATAGTTCAATAATTTTCCTACACATCAAAATCAATATGAATATAGTTATCGCTTTTAGCTACACATACAATATTTTTATCCACACATTGTATTATGACACGTGCCTCCAGGGACATGTCATGTAACTTAACACATCATCTATCTAGTCCACATCATTGTCCATATTATTTTCCATGTCATTAGCCATGTCATCAACCACATCATCATCTATCTAAACAAATCATATCACTTCTACATACACATACTTACTAGGTTTAGCCACACATACATGTGTAGGTATAGCTTTATCTATACCTATACATAAGTGATGTGTGGGTAATAATCTATATCTATAGTCATAAGCCAACACATGATGACATTTAATTTATGTGTGGGTAAAGCCACTTACCAACACATAATAGGTTTTTAGGCACACATAACATGTGTAGGTGAACACCCAAATTTCTTGTAGTGACCGTTGGCACTATACTATATTTGTCCCTGGATAAAATCGAATTATCCAATTGGACAATTTGCATTGGACTATTTGGTTTAGATATTTGGATTTTTGGATTGGTTTTTTACAAAACCGAATTATTATTTTGGATTTCAGATTGCTTTTGGATTATAAAATAAGAACTGAATAGTCCAAAAAAACCGAATAAATATTTATTATTTATTTATTTATAATATATATCTATATTTATTTATTAATTTTGTAATTTATTTGTTCAAATAGGTTCAAAACGTTTCAACCGAAAAAACAACATTAATATGCATTTTCTCTCAAACATTTTCTATCTAAGATATATTTAACTAAAATATATCTTTTTAGTAGTTGTTTATAAATTTCAAATCACAACTAAACAATTTGTTTTCGTTCCTTGTGTAAAGTTGGATAATCTTATAATTATATGTTGTTTAATTTTAAAATGTTTTGGTTTATAAAAACTGAATTATAAAAACCGATCCAACCGAATTATAATCGGATCGGATCGGATTTGAATTTAGTTTGGACTATTCGGATCTATGTGTTGAAAACTGAAATCAATTAGGATTCACTTGATTGGATCGGATCAAACCGATCCATCCAAACCAACACTCCTACCTTTGGGTAAAAATAAAATTGTTAAGAGGTGGTGTTGATTTAATATTTGACCTTCAGCCGTTTGGCAGACCAAACATACATCGGGTATAATTATCCGGATCATGTGACCCAATTAAATTGATGATATGAAACCAATTAAAAAAGTCGCATACTTAGTTCTTACAAAGCTCGCTTCATAAACTATTTAGCTGCAAAAATGTTGTACGGAGTATTAAATTGCTAACTATTAAACTTTGGTACGACATAATACTATGGGCTGCCGTTCAAAAGATAATTAAATAAATAAATAAGTAATTGTGTGGGCTATAGTTACTAGGCTTTATCAATAATGCAATATACATATCTATGAAACAAAAGTGAGCCTATGGTCAGGTAGGTCCTCTTTGCAAGAAATAGCTTCGACGCAGGGTTGCACAAAAATAAATAGATAATAATTCTTTGCCAAAAGTTCAATGTTCAACAATGTCGACATATACGCTATATATGCCGATTTGCGCATTTATAATTGTTTTTGTTCATCGTTCCTACCAAAAAACTTACTTTCATATTGTTATCGTGTTCCACCAAACAGTGAAACGCAATTGGAACTGCGCGCACATGTTCTTGGCTAGAAGCATAGTACGTGCAAAAAGATTAACAGAGCAAAAGAAATATTTTATTCCAATGCTCATACGGACAAACATTATATAATACTAGATTAAAAG